GGAAGACGCCCCACTGCAGCTTCAAAGGAACAGCGAGGTCGGCCGGAGGACTATCATTGATCATGGGGATTACAGATGCCAAAAAGAGCAATAAAGTCACCACGGGGATAAGCACCTCTGTCTCTGCCTGCCTGTAGAGATCAAAGATCACAACCCTGCTCTCGCTCACAGACTCCTGCCACCGGACAATCAAAGACTCCCCCGCGGCGCTCTGACGCCCCCTTGTGAACAATGGACACTATCACACCCGGGACGGACAATTGCGAACCGGCACCCCTGGGTCCAGTACTCCAATAATCTGCATTGTGCCCCATATGTGTGTATCAATGTCAAAGTAATGAAATACGGTGTGTGTTTGTACATGTCTTATGATTATTAGCATCAATCCTGTGTGTTTCCTTTACAAACTGTCTGTTGTAAAAGGGGTCTGTCCACAGAGGGCAGGGGCGGCATGGACACGCCCCCTGGGAAGTCTATATGAGCACCCACACGCCATTGTTCTTTCTCTTGCCTTCTCCTGAAATCACTATCGCAACCTCCCTATCGACTCTGCGGCGGCACCAGTACGGGCCTCCAGCAACGACTGTGCCCGTCCGCATCGAGACTTTCCCTTCCAAGCAAACCTATTTTCTGGTTGGGATTTATGAACTCTTCATCACCAGCCGGCCCTGGCTCTGGACTCTGCGCACGTGACTCATTCCGGACTGAGTGTGCACGCCTGGATCCAAAGTTGGACTGCCGTCGCTGGCTTCATAATTCCCGCTTGCCCGGACAAAGAAACCACGTGGACGACATCGCCTCCACCCCATTCTTCATTCTCATCCTCCACTCCATCCTCATCCCAGTCACCCACTTCCCTCTACGCTCCTTCAAAGTAAGTAAGTAAGTAAGTAAGTTTTTATTTATATACCGCCTTTTCACTGCAGATCTGAGTCTCAAAGCGGTTTACAATTGTTAATTTTTGGGCATTTGTCTCTCACTCCACACAGAGATGGGAGCGGGGTCGCCAGTACAGGAGGCACATGCCAGAACTATTGGACATATTTTTAGTGGTAGGGGAAACCGGAGTACCCGGAGGAAACCTACGCAGACACGGGGAGAACATGCAAACTCCACTCAGAAAGGCCCTGGTCCGACCGGGATTCGAACCCAGATCCTTCTTGCTGAGAGGCGTGAGTGCTATCCACTCAGCCACCGTGCCGCCCACGGTGGCTGAGTAAGACTGTTCCTTTGTTAAATGTATGATTTGAATGATATGTGTGCAACTCCTGCTTTTAATGTGACCAGAAATCCCTTTTCGTTATATTTTTACCCTCATTTTTGTAATCAATAAACTACTTTTCTTTAACTCAACCCCTTCAGAGTCGCGTTGTTAGATCTCGGAATATCACTGGCCGATAAAAGTACTCACTACCTATTAGATTTATAAGACTGACTCGAGGCAAAGTTGGTTTGGATCTGTGCAGTGTGTCATACACTGCTGGTGCCTAAATAAATATAAAGCAGATCCCCCACTCGAATAGGACGGCCAGACTCTGATTTGAAGACTAGCCGCACTATTCTTCTCATAACATAATCTGTAGTATTATTACCCTACTATATATAAATATTTACCCTACAACCGTAAAACATTAAAATCACACAAGGGATTACAATCATAAATAATCATAAATAATCATAGCGCATTAAAAAGATTAAAGATAAAAACAAATATAAAATCATTCACTTGTATGCACAGCTAAAAAGAACTGTTTTCAGTTCAGTTTTAAAAACTGCTAGAGTAGACGCCTGTCTCACACTCTCGGGAAGACGGTTCCAGACTCTAGCTGCATGAATCTGAAACGCAGCCTCCCCATGTCTAGTTCCGACTCTTGGCACTAACAGAAGTCCAGTCCCTGTGCTCCTCAGAGCCCGAGTTGGTTCATATGGCACCAACATGTCGCGGATGTACCCTGGTGCGAGGCCATGGAGAGACTTGTACACAAGTAAAGCTACTTTAAAATCTATTCTCTGAGCCACAGGAAGCCAGTGCAGAGACCTGAGGACCGGACTAATGTGGTCGTACTTCCTGGTTCTAGTCAGGACTCGAGCTGCAGCATTTTGGATGTACTGCAGCTGTTTTACCGCTTGTTTAGAGAGACCTGTGAACAAGCCATTGCAGTAGTCCAATCGACTGGAGACAAATGCGTGGATAAGAATCTCCAAGTCTGCTTTAGACACAATGTTTTTAATTTTAGCAATGTTTCTTAGGTGGAAGTAAGCTGATGATGTCACAGATGATATGTGGCTATTGAAATTTAAGTCTGAGTCCATTATTACTCCTAGATTTCTGACCTGAGTTGAGGGTTTTAGGGAGAGAGACTGGAGGTGGCAGATAACGCTCTCTCTTTGTTTTTGAGGTCCGAAAACAATAATTTCAGTTTTTTCTGTGTTTAGCTGGAGAAAGTTATTTTGCATCCAATCACTGATTTGTTGGATACAGTGAAGGAGCGAGTCCACTGGTCCATGTTCTCCTGCTGTCAGGGACACATAGACCTGAGTATCGTCAGCATAATTGTGATAGGACACGTTATTACTGTGTATTAACCTACCCAGAGGCAGCATGTAAATATTAAACAGGAGAGGCCCCAGGATTGATCCCTGTGGCACTCCGCAGGTTAGGGCCAGATGGTCTGAGATACAGTTTCCGATCTCCACAAAATACTTTCTGTCCTGTAGGTAGGATATAAACCAGCTTAGGGCTGTTCCAGAAACACCAACCCAGTCCTCAAGTCTCTGAATGAGGATACCATGATCGACAGTGTCGAAAGCAGCACTTAAATCTAACAGGATAAGAACTGAGACTTTTCCTGCGTCAGTGTTAAGTCTGATGTCATTTGTTACCTTCACTAGAGCGGTCTCTGTGCTGTGGTGGGGTCTAAAACCAGACTGGAACATATCAAAAGAGTGATTGATTATTAAAAATTCTGTAAGTTGTTGATAGACAACTTTTTCTAGAATTTTACCCATGAAAGGCAGATTTGAAATGGGCCGATAATTTTTAAGTGCCAAGGCATCCAGACTCCTCTTTTTTAGGAGGGGTCTGATGACTGCCGTTTTCAGGGCCATTGGGAATGTTCCAGATTCAAGAGACATATTTACTATATGCGTGAGTGAAGGTAAAAGACTGCTCAGAACAGATTTAAGAAATCTAGGAGGTAATACATCCAGGCTACATGTAGAAGAACTCAGACTTGTAATTATCATTTGGACAGTTTCATTTTGTACTGGTGTAAAGTGTGACAGCCCAAAAAGCTTCACTGGCTGTTGGATTGTAATTTCTACTGTGGAGGTGATGGCATTTTTGATGCCTTGGACTTTGTCATTAAAAAACTCTGCAAACTCATTACATTTGGTTTTGGAGGTAAGCTCTGATGGCATCTTAACAGGGGGATTTGTCAATTTATTTACTGTTGAGAACAGAACGCGTAGATTGTTACTGCAACCTTCAATTGTTTCGGAAAAATAAGTTTCCCTCGTTCTACGTAGCACACTGTTGAACTTGCACAATGCATCTTTGAAGATCTCATGGTCAACTTGGAGATTTGACTTTCGCCACTTCCGCTCGGCTCTCCGGCACTCTCTCTTCTGTGCCCTGACAGAGTCCACTAGAGGTGACAGAGTTAAGTAATTCATCCACAGTAGAACACAACGTGTTATCAAAGTTTATCATCCCCATGAAAAGTTCACCTGTATTTTTGTTTATGTGTCTTCTTCTTCTAACAATTGAGGATTCAGCTCGTGCTTTACTATTGAGACACATATCAAAAAATACACAGAAATGATCTGACAGAGCAACATTGGTCACATTTACATTTGAGATATTAACCCCTTTAGTAATTAGCAGATCGAGAGTGTGTCCTCTGCTATGGGTGGGGCCACTCACATGCTGAGTGAGACCAAAGGTCTCCAGCACAGAGCTCAGCTCTTTCGCGTATCTATCATCATCGTTATCTACATGTATATTAAAATCACCTATGACGACTAAACTATCAAAGTCTGTGCACACAACTGAAAGCAACTCGGTGAAATGATCAGTGAAACTATGACATGACTGTGGCGGCTTGTACACAACAATAATAAGAATAGAAGATTGTTTTTGTTCTATTTTAAAAGAGACATACTCAAATGAGGAAAATTTCCCAAGAGGTACTCTATGGGAGACAATACAATCTTTAAAAACTGCTGCTGTGCCTCCTCCTCTTTTATTTTCTCGAATTTCTGATTCAAATTTGAAATTTGGTGGTGTTGTTTCTATAAAGAGTGCATTTTCTGTATTATGGTCAAGCCAAGTTTCAGTCATAAACATAAAGTCAAGATCATAAGAACAGATAAAATTATTAATTAAAAAGGATTTATTGCATAGTGATCTGACATTAAGCAGAGCAAGGTTAAAAATAATATCAGTGTCAGTGGGTTTAGTTGATTGACTACAAAGAATTGGAATTAGATTTCCTGAGTTGGACCGTCTAACTGCTGTCCTTCTGTTATATTTGTGTTTATTCAAATTAAAACACATTTCTGAGCCGGTGCGAGGAACACACACAGTCTCTATTGGTTTAAAAAGTGAACTCTGTTTTACTTTGTTAAGTTCCAGATGCATGACTGAGTAAGTGCCGTTCAGTGGCAGGACTGGTATTACACTGCCAGACGGACAGGGGTCAGTGTTTGCACCACAGTACTCACCCGGTGCTGGAGTGGAGGAGGAAGGTGGTAGTGGGGGCCGAGGGGCCTCGGATGTAAACAGTCACGCCCATTAATGATATAATTTGATATGGGGGGGGGGTTAGAAAATTAGGTAACCCAACTTTAAATGCAGGTACCCAATGTGTTGGTGAGCTTATACATGTTTATTTGTGACTGTTGTGGCAAAATAAGACCAAAATGTCACGATTATTCCCCGGGTATAAAATGTGTAAGTTGCTTTGTAATCTCAATGTTTACCGTGACACGTTTCTTACCAAATTGTCCAACTCTGGGTCTTCGCTGAAAAAGGGCTTGTGTTCTCTCTCCTGCTGATGCACAAAGTTCTCGATGTCCACGTCGAAGCTGGCTGACGTGATGCACTCGGAGCCCTGCGTGGCCTGCTCACATTTCTCAAACAGCAGAGCCAGCAGAGGGAAGAGGGGGTGCCTGGACACAAAGCACATGTAGCTCAGTTAGACGCTATTTTTGTTGCCACTTATCCTGTTAGAACAATCCACAGGTCATTTTCAGGACCAAACTATTGTGTAAGTGAACGGGGCTAAAGTTAGCTGGGTGAAAAGTCACTATAAGCGTGTATGTTTGAATGTGAAATACTACCTCCTGTACATATACTGTATGCCTGGTTGTTTGAATGTATTGAAAAGTCATATTATTACTCAAACTACTGCTCATATACTAAATATGACAGTCGTGAGTGTTCAAATGGGATGATGCCGCTAAGAAATGGGATGTTAAATGTCATAGCGAGTGAAAAGGTCTTAAAACAGGGACCATGAAATCTCCCGCATACTAATGATAAACTGGTGAGAGTGAACTTTAAGAATCAATTTTTTTTTTATCTTTAATATTCTTTTCATACAGTAGATGAGATCTGTCAGACCTCAAACCGTTCAAAAGGGATGGTACAGTATTTGTATAGTTTAAGACATACATTTGTGTGTAAAGTGTATTATACATAACATTATTGATATTTCATTTTTAAAAGATTGTATTTTTCTGACCAGGGGACACTACACTACACAATACTAAAGTGTATAGTAAGTATTTTTCTACAATAATACATATAGTCCCTCCTCTTGGCATAACCACAACCTGTAAGATTATCTGGAGAAAAATAGTTAAACCAATGATGAGGGCCACATTTAGGATTTAGGAGAAACTAAGACTATATCCACACGAAGACAAAACGCTTATAATTTCAGAAACTTTTTCTGTAAACACGGAGTTAGCTCAGTAAATGTGTGCGTCCATATGAATGTAGTCAATATGCCTGAAAACGCTGTGAAACTATGCCAGACCTGTTGGTGGCGCTGTGACGCAATGACGGGATCAAGCCCAAACTTCCGGGACGGGAACTGGGCATGCGCAGAATTTTGTAAACAGACAACATGGCGAGTGGGCGAGCTGGTACTACATTAGTATGGACGGACGATGAGGTTGAACTGTTGCTTCGGGTCGCACTGGATTACAAAAGCCAACAAGCCATTGTTGTTGTCATTATTGTGTGCGGCGCCTGCGTGCTTTAACAAGAGGCGGGGCGATGACGCAAGCGTCTCAGATACATTGCGGAGAGGCAGTAACCACGGAGCGGCATATACGGAGTTTTGAAATCTTTCCACTCTGGGACCTACTTTCAAAAATGTTTGTTTACACCCCCCAAAACGCCGGCCTCGTATGGACGATACACTGGATTGATAAAGTATTTTTGCGTTTAGGCCTGAGCTTGACTTTGTGTGGACAGGGCCTAAATCTTCCCACAGTAGGAAACTTTGAATTAATATTGACCAATCATGAGGCAGCAAAAGTGAGCATGGGTGGGTCTAACCATTGTTTGTCTACTTCTTGAAAAGTCTGACATTCAAGTATAATCATATCTTTAGTTTCTTGAAGAAGACAGTATTAGTTTTAGTCAACAAAACGTTTATTTGATAAAGTCAAATATGATCATTTATATGAATGATAATAAACATTATTCTAAGGTTTGAGTTGAGTTGTGGGTGTTTTATGATATGAGTGAAGACTTTTACATCTGTGACCACTGCGTTTGTGTTTTACAGTACAAGTACCTTTTTAATAAAGGTTGTGTCAGATCAAATGCGTGTTTTACATTGAACCAAATGCTAAATTGTTATCAACATGATGCTATGCTATATGGAGGTTTTTGTTCATCACTAAGCAACAGAAAAAACCCCATAACATGGCTTCTTTAATATGATGTAAAACCCCTGTTTTGTTCGACCTCTGTTTGTATTCAAAGTGAGGGATTAATGGGTTTAAGTTACAGGCTCGATTAAAGAGGAAGCAAATTTAAGAGTTGTTAGAAGCTGCACTCCACGGCACTTCTTGTCTGTGTGTACTTTTAATAGGCTGACATTCCCTAAAGGACATGCTGGAGCTGCAGATCAAAAAAAGATCTTTAAGTGGATGGGCTATGGTCCAGCAACGAGACAGGGCTTCACACTGTCACCTCCATTGTTCCCATCTGCCTTTTATAGGGAATGTCAAGCACATAAGATCCTGCAGATAAACTGTGCAATGATCCATAATGCACTGCTGCACCTAGTCCATGCCAAATCATTGAGCATTTCCACTCAACGCAAAGCAGCTGCCGACACAAGCAGTGCCAGTGAAATGTGAGGAAGACAACAGCATACACCGACCCGGATATTGTTATACTCAAGTTACATCTTTGGATTTTGCTCTTAAACGTATTTTAAATAAGAGTTTGCATTATCCCGAAGAAGTCGATAAGAACGAACGCAATCTGGAGGCAAAGTCTAGCAACGGTCTAGAAATGGCTGTTTTGTTAATGAGTGTGTTAGTGAGTGTGACTGTGGATGGTAATTATCCCAAGATCCAATCCAGAGGTGAGGTCATTAACGTGCACTGTCCCCGGCAAATAAACACATTTGAATAGGCACCTGATGGGACGATTATTAGGAATCCTAGCTTGATTTACAACTACAATATCAACATAAAAACACCAGAATCATGTAGAGCTTAAACCATTGTTTTTTAAGCCCATACAGTGAGGATAACACTATACGTATACTTTTCAATTAAGTGAATGCCAAAGTCGGTTAGCGCTTTGGTTACCCATCCTATATTTCATATAGGATGGGTAAATATTACTGCACAACTGAACCCAAGATATGAATCAAAATGCATTGTTACGTTGGATTTAAAGCCAAACATACATTTGCCTCATACGGGAGGCTTCTTTTTGAACCTTGGTCTAAAATTTCACAAATATTAAAGCCGATGTAGTTGTTTTTTTCTTTGGGTACGTTATAAATATTCATACACACATTTTTGGGTAAACTGGGTTTTTACAGCTACTTTTATACAACACTAAGTAAAACTGTGAAACAACCACAGTAATCCTTTGGTTGGAACACACACACAAAAATGTTCAGTTCATGCAATGTTTTTGATCAGATCATATTCATTACTTACACCCAGGTCTGTGAGCAACATAACTCAAACAGTTATGAATAAGGGCAACATTACATTTTGGAGGTGATCACTGCATGGATGAAGGATTTTTGTGGGATGGCATTGCTCCTTTACGCAGAGCTCTGTGTTCTAGTGATTTTCTAGTTTTAGAATATTAATCAAATACTTGATTGAATCAAATATACTGTTTTTGATACATAAGTCCATTGCTGGGCTGTAAACCAATGTCAAAGAGACAGACAGCTGGACAGGAAGAACAGACCTTGTTGCACCTAAAGATTGCAGCTGGGTCCAGTCTGGATCCCGGCACCGAAGCTGTTGTCTGTGGCTTTTCTGCGATGGTGGAGGTTAAATGGCATTCATTCTGAGCTTGGGCGTGTTTCCAGTTGTTGAAGATGATCTGTCCTTGATCTAACCGTCAGGGGTTATGTTCAAAATGATCAGTTCCAGTGGGTGAAGTGTACAATAATACACTTTTCCAGACTGTGACTCAAACGCAGTATCTGGCTCTGAGTGTTTGTGAGGCTCTCCTGAAGCACATGGACTGATACTTGAAAGACTTAAACCCATCTCCATTTATTTTCACCTTCACAATCTGTACATTTACTGTTAGATAAAAGTGCAGACGTGCTCGGTTTTTCATTTGTCAATTCCCCATCACAAATTGCCCTGTTCACTTAAATTGACACAAGTAAACATTTAGCAGTGAATATGTGATGTTAGAGAAATTACTGCAAATCGATGCTGGAGTTGATGAGCAAAGAGCCTCTCTTTAAATCTAACGAGCTCGGTAATGGAAAACATGAACAATGTAATTATTAGTGGCATTCGGTCTTTTGACAATTTGTGCGGAAAGCCAGAACTATTGATGAATACATGTATCATTTGTAAGAGTTTTCTTCTGTTTGTTAACTCCAAAATGTGTTGCCCTTTACCAAGAAACTTTGTGAAAAACCAGATCTATTTTAGTGCCATACAAATAAGGTTTCACCCCTTCTTGAGCCAATAGTTTCAAACGTACTTCCAACAACAAAACAGAAGAATGGAGATTGTAGCTGCAACCCTATCTTCAATCTTACTGCACATATCAATGTTATTTCAAATAGATTTTTCCCAGTAAGTAAATACTACTCGTTTATTGTAAGTTTATTTAAAGCCTGGCTATATCACTCAGGGCCTTCTTTGAATTGAGCTGTCTCTGTTCAAATACGCCGCACTTTTGATATTTTGAACATGTACAGAGTTCAAAATGTCAGGTATCTCTATAACAGTGCTGAGAGGGTAGCATCTTCGCCTCTCAGCAAGAAGAATCAGAGTTCGAATCCTAGACGGAGCATGGCCTTTCTGATACATGTACAGTATAGCACAGTCAAACTGTATTGCAATCAATTGAGTTCACTAAGCGACAGCAGGTTAAGCATGTACTTGAGGAATTCAAGTGAAGTTAATGTGATATTTATTTCCAAGGTTTTTTCAAGTATCCTTAACTTGTCAGGGTTTACATTTTTTTGTTTTGACAAATAACATAACAAACTAAGTTATGATTTTTTTTAAATGAACTCAATTAGAGTATTTTTGAAACACATAAAGAATTCATTATTTAGATCTGTAATCATATGACACAGGTGAAACTTGTTCAAATGTCTGATATTCTACTTAAACAGTAACACTAATAAATGATTTAAACTCATTTCATGCAAAGTGACAAATGCACGACTTTTGTTTGTCATAAAATTCATGATTATGGCGCTTAATGAGTCTAATTTCACTTTTATTTAGAGTTCTAAATCAAATCCAAATGTAGTTTCAATTTCATTACATTACGCGTTTCACTTTCTCTCTTATAAAGACACAACTCCACACACAATCCCTTGTTTAAATTACACTGCCTCACAACATAAAAAAAGACAGTAATTGCATATCACATGTTTTCCCAGAGTACTCAACACACTTACATTATATTTCCATGT